TAACCAAACTTTTTGTGAGGTAAAATTTTTTGATTTTGATTTGCAAAAATCGATCTTAACCTCACTTAAGAAAAGTAGATTTTACACAAAAAGGGATCTTCATTATGATCATATGCCCAATTAGAGCTCTCAGAGGTACAATGTCAATTAAACACCTTAATTATTCGAAAAATTATATTTGAAAATAACCTAAAAATCGACCTTAACCTCATAATAAAAAAAATAGATTTTACACATAAAGGTCTGTCTCTTCAGTATAAACATGTTCCCACCCAATTGGGTCTTTCAGAGGGACTCTCATTATAAATTAAAAACATCAATTATTCGAAATATTTTTGAACATAACCTAACTTTTTGAGAGGGAATTTTTGCCATTCAAAAAAAATTTTAAATTTGAGTAAAAATAATGAGAATCTTTAATATTGTAAAACTTAGTAGCTCTAACTGTTCTTTGAAAAATATATCATTCCTCACTTTGTTCAGCGATAACCTCATTTTTTTTAATTTTGAATTTTACTACCTTCATCTCAATATCCTTAGTTTTATAATTTGGAATTGCTATCTAAAAAACAGAAATAGTTGCAGCAGACCCTGTTATATTTCACCAACTTCCATTAAAATATTTGTTAAACCTAACCTCACTTCTCCCAATAAAAAATGGATAATTTTAATTCATAACACCAAGATAAAAAGTTGTTTCAATCATAACCTCACATTTTTCAATTGCAAATTTTACTCCCAGGACCGAGAAAATATTCTTAGTATTGTCATTTTGAATTGCGACCTATAAACAACAGAAGTATTATTACATTTCTTCAACTACCATTACAATATTTTTTTAAACCTAACCTCACTTTTCCAAAACAAAACAAAAAAAGAATAATTTTAACTCGCAACGCCAAAATGATATTTTTTAGTTATTTTCAATTGCTTTCGATAAACATGTCTAAAAAAACAGCTAAATCGGAATTTCCCATTTTTCTCCATAACCTCACATTTCTTGAAATACTATCGAAAATAGCTAAAATTTCGGTTTTGTAATTTTAAATTTCATTTTCTGGTATTGGTATTTTTTATTTTTAATATATTTTTGTTTCATTTTAAAATTCCATTTTTCCTTCCCCATAACCTCACATTTTGCTTAAAACTTAAAAAAATACCTCATTTTTAATTAATATTTCCAGCACAGTGTTGTTTATATACGTCAAAGTTAAGAATGATGATGTTTGAGGAATGTCATATATTTATATTTGTAAAAAAAAAATATAGATTATAAAAATAACTACAACAAAAAATCGTTATATATATGTGAATAATATATATTGTCAAAAAATTACAATAACAATTTAATTTTTCCAATTTATTTCATTAGGAATTTGTCAGAATATTTTGAAAATAAAATTAAAAAAAAAAAATAATAATTTTAAACAAAATTGCATATATTCTGCATGCTTTGTTCAGAAAAAAATAATAAAAAAATAACATATTTTTCAATGAAGTAGGTTTTGGAGCATCTACTATATATATATGTGGTTTTTAATATATATAAAATTATATATATGTATACTGTGAGATCAATTCATTATAATTATTATAATTTTTTTTATTCGTGTCATATATGTTTGTCAAATTTTAGTTTTTTTTTTTTGGGACTTTTGTTGCAAAAGTTTTGAAAAATTGTCAAAATGATAATCTTTTTAATGAAAAGTGATTTAAAAAAATGAAACAAAATTTCTTAAAATGTTTTTTCAACTGTATATGTACATTTTTTTAGGATTTTTATCTTTCTTTTTTTTTGTGTTTTATAATGTTTATATAGATGTAAGGATATATTCGATAATTTTTCTTTTTTGTGTTTTGTAAACTAAAATTAATTGAAGAGTTTAATATGGAAATAAAATTAAAAACTCTTTCTTATGTATATATATACTATATATGTAAATGTATATAGGACATTTTTTTATAATTATTAAATTACAAATACACATGTGATAAAGGAAATTTAAATCCTTTCTTGGGGCTTTTTTTCAAGTAGCTTAGGGTGGGCATATATTTTTTAAGGGGGGTTGGAATTTGTAAATTCCCTTACTTAAAATGTTTTAATATATTTTAAGGTATATAGAAGAAAATACCTTCGAATTAAAAAATAAAAATTAAAATAAAAGAATAGAACAAAAATTCATAAATTATTGCCAAAGATTGAATTGATTGTAAAAAAAAATTAGGAGATGGTGAGCAAAAGGCCAATAATGCCAACAAATACGGAATTTAACGACCCATCCTAATATGTGTTAAGAGGATAAGATTTGTAAATTCACCTTTTTGAATAGTTTTATTGGACCTTTTCCCTTCCATAACTTGATTTTTTTGTATGCAAACCTAAAATACTTTTCAATATATTTTCAAATATACCATTTGCAAATTTACTTCATTAAATTAAATTAAATTAAAAACCAAAAAACGCGAAAAAAACCTATTCAGCTCATGTGAAAAAAAGAATTGAAATTTATAAAAAAAAACAAAAATGAATGCAAACAAGCAGCGCACAAATAGGCAGTGGAAAAAACAGGGCAGGGGTCCACATCACTTTCAATGCAATATTGGAACGGAATTACATTAATTTAATAGAAAAAATTTTAAAAAATTTCCATTCGACCATAACCTCATTTTTTTGCAAAAATTTTTGATTTGGGTAAAAATGGTTTTCAATATTAATTTTTCAATTGACCACAACCTCACTTTTTAAAATTGATTTGATTTTGTATTTTTAAAACCTACACATTTTTTGCAGCTGAATTTCAATTTATAAAACAAAAATTATGCAATTTTTTAATTCAACCATAACTTCACTTTATTTCTAAACATTTTTGATTTTGGCCATAATACACCTCAAAAGTATATGCATATGTTACTCGTTATGGACCTATTACAATTTTCAAAATGAATTTAATTCATTAATTATAACAATAGTTTGTAATTTTTTATCATTCGGCCATAACCTTACTTTTTGCAAAAACGTTTTTTTTCGAAATGGGTCAATGTATTTTTCAATTTTTGTAATCATACAATATTGGAGTTGAACAACTACATTCAAACAATTAAAGAAATCATGGAAATATTTTTTCATTGAACGTAACCGTAACATTCGGCCATAACCTTACTTTTCACAAACATGTTTAGTTTTGTTCAAAAAAGGGTCAATATTTTCATTTAGTAATAATTTTTTTGTAATCCATCAATTTTGAAGCGGAACTACATTCAATCAATTAAAGGAGTCATGGAAATATTTTGTTGTTGAAGTTTGATTTGACAAAAATCTGACATATAAAATATCAAAATATGTGCAGAAATAAACCAAAAGTGCAAGAGTTCCATATTAAATATTTATTCATTTCACAAACATAACCTCACTTTTCCAAATATTTTTTTTTTATTATGCCCCAATTGGTCCATAACGTGCAACGTTCATTCAAAAGTTCAATGTCTTTAGAGTTTTGTAATTCAAATTGCAGCATAACTACGAATTATGTAGACATAACCTCACATTTCTGAAAACAATTTTAAATTTAATTCAGACATAACCTCACATTTTTGAAATAAAATTTAATTTTTTTTCCAAATTTAACGATTTTATCTATTTTTTGAAATACTTAGAATTACGAAAGTGAAATGCAGCAATTATTGCAAAAAATATCGTCTTCCGGACATAACCTCAAAAAAAAACTTTTCTTACGATTTTTAGGAAAAATGAAATTTGACCTCTGGGAGTTCTTGTTTTTTAAGCAAAAATGAAGTTTGACCTCTGGGAGTTTTAGTTACATCCTGACCGCGGGAGATTATTCAAAAATTAAAAACAAAAAACATTGTTTTTGAATTTTTCAATGGTAATCAGAATCCGAAGCTTTTCGATTTGAAAAGCAAGCCACCACGCCTTGGTGCTAAATACTGCGAATTAGATTCTTGAATATATATTAAATCCGAAAGGTTGTAAAGCACAGCTTCCATAATTTTGGAACATTCGTGGACCACTGACTACAAAATTTCAAAAATCCGAACAGTTTCCAAATATTTATGACCAATTGATTGTTATGACCCGCTAAAGCAGCATGAACCCCTAAGCTCCTTAATTGACCCTGTTTTAACACCACTGCCTATATAAAAAAATCGAAAATTGATGCCTTTCCCAAATTGGAAAGACATACCCTTAATAATATTGGCAAGATAAAAACTGAACTTGTTTGCATTTTTTTGATTATTGTTTGTATTGAAAAAAAAACCAAAAGAAAAAAATCGAAAAAAACGAAAACTAAAACGAAAAAATTCACAAAAATGTTGAGCAATATTTTACCTTGAGCAGATTCTAGAGTAAAAATATATGTAGTAGCGCTAATGTATGTAGGCGGTAAATTAAATTAAAAACTTAGGCAAATACGAAGAAAACTTAAAATCAAATAATAAAAAAAGAAATTAAAACTCATCATAAGGGGTAAAAAAATGTTAAAACATAAGATTAATAAATTAAAAAAAAAAATTAATAATTCCTATCCATTAAAAAGGGAGCGGTTACTTAAAAGCTACTTCTTAAGCGTAATAAATTTTTAGGTAGCAATAAAAATTAATAGTAAATAGTAAATATACTTTTTTATGTGTAGAGATAATTATTAATATAAAATGGAAATGCAGGTTTAATGGATGGGTGGGGCATGAGAGTGATGATGGGTGGGGGGCAAACCTCTTGCTTAATTACAAAATAAAACGAAAAAACAAACTATTCTTCCTGAATTGTAATTTCCATGGGGGTACAGCAAGTGGTGTTCCTCAAAGCCAGTAATCACAAACCTTGACCTGGCATTTATACCCAAAATAATGGTGTTGACTCCCCGCCGCGAGAGAAACGTAGCGAAAACAAATTACAAATAACCATTGGAATTCCAATTTTCCTTTCTTTTTTGTTTTGTTTCCAAATGTTGTGTCATCCTCCTTCTTTTGCTCACTCGCATTTAAGCAATTCGATTAACCAACTGCATTTTACGACGTGATGTTTGATGATTTGTTGCCTCACCCAATGCTGAGAGTGTACCGATTTGTGTAAATTGTCCGGCGGTGGTATGCTGATGCTGCTGTTGCAGGCCACCATTATTGCTGCTCGATATTGTTTGCACAACAATTTGTTGTTGTTGCTGTTGCAGCTGCTGTTGTATATGCTGCAGATCTTGTATATTTTGAACTTTGACAATTTTCTTGATATTTTGCATTTGTATGTGACGTTGTTGCTGTTGTTGATTTTGAATTTGTTTTTCAATCTCACCAGCCGGCCCAATTGAATAATTAATATTTAATCTTGCTCTCTTGGGGGATTGATGATTCTCGTTGTTGCCTCCAGCACCGACAGCAGCTGAAATATTATAATCGGCCGGACTCAATTCAATAATATCGGATTGGCTAATGGCCATGCGTACCGCTTCTTTGTCATCATCGATATCAATGGCATCGTAGATGTCTTCAACCTAAAGGAGGGAAGAAGAGAAATGGAGTTATTAAAAAACTAAACTTCGAAGCAGAATATTTACTTACCTCAATATCAAAATCCCGCTGTAAACTATCCGATAGGGAATTAATACCACCACCACCATTAACAGCCTTAGTTGACAGGGTAATCGGTGATGACATGGTGGCCCTGCGTTGTTGCTGTAAATTAGACAAACGGCTGATGACAATATCATTACCACCACCTCCTCCAGCAGCCACACCACTATCATCTTCATTATCGGACATATGATGTATATCTTCAGTTTTAATCGATACCGCATGAATCATATCCTCATCCAATTCCTCTTCCACGAGCATATTATCAACCAATGTTTCATCTAATTCCTGCTCCTCCAAATCGGAGGCCTCTTCAATTTCCGATTGACTATCCATTTCAGCATCTGAATCCCCACTACTGCCATGTTTCATTTCACCACGTTCCAATGCCTCTAAATGTTCGGGATAAACCATTGCATTACGTATAGCCATGGGATCTTTTTTCGACCATTTCTGGACTTCTTCATCCATTTTGGCAATACGTTCGGGATTCATGGCCCATAGGCAGCCTTTACGCTGATTACCATTTGTCGGAGGTTTTTCGATTTTTTCAAAACATTTATTAAGGGACAAATTGTGTCGAACACTATTCTTCCAGCCACTGGGTGCGGTCTTAAAATAGGGGAAATGTTCACACATAAAACTATAGATTTCCGATACGGGCAAAGACCCACTGCGGGAGTTTTTCAAAGCCATTGCTATGAGGCAGGAGTATGAGTAAGCAGGTTTGGGAAATTCTGATTCAACTTGGGGCGGCTTAACCTTTTGCTGTAAGGGTTTAACGGCGGCCGTGGCAAGGTTCGGACTTGAACTATTACTTGAGGTGGGGCTGTTAGATGCAGATGTTGTTGTTGAGTTGTTCGGATTATAGCTAACAATATTTGTGGAATAATTGGAATTCTGGCTACCATTTGAGGAATTATTCTGTTGCTGTTGTTGTTGCTGCTGATGCTGTTGTTGTAAATAATTTGCATGAGCTATGGATTTGGCTGTAAAACTAGTTGAGGTTTGAACGCCATTGCGTGATATTATTTTGGTAAGATTTTGACCACCACCACCATTGTTGTTGTGGTTATTGTTTCCATTGGTGGTTATGGTTTGCAAAGGACTAGATTCACGTTCACGTTTCAAAACTAACGCTGAACCATTGGCAGTGATTGTTGTTGTCGAACCCTGATTTAATTTTGTTGTTCCTCCCGTTGATGTTGTTGTGCTGCTGCTATGTTGTGTTGTATTGTTGTTGGAGGTTTGTTTCAATTTGTTGTAGGTGGTAATGTTATTGGCAAAGGTGAGACCACCAATACCAGGACCCAATTTAATTGTGCTCGATGATGTAGAAGTAGCCGAAGATGCGGATGAGGTGGTTGAGGAACTACTGGTAGCTGTAAGTATCTGCTGATGATGATGAGGCGAATTCCTGCCATTGACATATGTGCTAACAGCTGAGGTAGATGATGATGATGAGCTGCCTTCCCGGCTAACAGCCACCGGATTGGCTTTAAACACCAAATTACCGCCTTCATTTGTTGCCACCGGCACCACTTTCCTCATCTCCGTACCCAAATCTTTTTTAATCGCCTCCACAGCAGCATTTTTACGCTGCAATGCCGAATTCGTGGCCATTGTAGCAGGGGCTGTTGTAGCTGTAGTTACCGTCGATGATATAGCTATTATTTGTTGTTTTGGTATATGGGCCGTCAACTGTTCATTACGTATCGAACTGGCGCTAATCTTTATGTGAGCCGGTGAAAATGTCAAATGTGATTTGGTATCATTGACATTGGGTGATGGGGGTGGCGGTGAACTACTACGTAAAATATTTGCATTTAAATTTGTCTTTGGTGACATATGCAGTAGGGAGGATGATATCAATGGCATTACCGAAATGGGATTAACACACGCCCCCACATCGGCTAGAAAATCATTATTAGCACCCAACCATGATGATGATGAATTTGATGAACCCAAACCGCCAAAATGTGAACTCCATGATGATAGGACACTTGTTGGTTCTTTGTGCGCCGAGGAGGAGGTTATGGCGACACCATTACTGGAACTGCCATTTGTATGTAGCAAATCGGTACTGTGATCAAATGCTGAGGGTAATTCCGCCAGGCAGGTTTCATAGTCGGTAACGCTACCGACAACATTTGCCACTTCGCTGCGTATATCAACATCCAGCATATCGTGCAGGGAATCCGATATGAAGAAATCTAATGTGGGCCCGGAGGAGTCCTGTATAAAAGAGAGAAAGGAGAAACAAGTTAGAAATATGAAAAACAAAAATTACAAATTAAAAGTAAAAGTAAAATAATAAAAAAAATATATATATATCCAAGAAAAATTTTAATATTTTGAAATTTTTTCTTTTTCGAATTTCAACATAGCACGTTTCCCATCCATGGACTAGATGATGCGCCATCTATACCACAAAATTAATTTTCCACTCTTTCGATTCAACTTCCATTTAATTTTTTTTTTACAGACGACAACTTGCAAAGACATAGAAACCGTAAAGACTCGACAAAATGCATTTTGACAAAATAGTTTATGAAAAAATATCCAGGGGGAATCAGGCATAACAGAGGCATGTTAACAATAAAAACGCAAATACGCGATAATGTGTCTTAAAATTTAAATAAAATTAGTTCTTGCGATATAGCGTTTAAAACGTTTAATATTGAGGTTGCTGAAAAGACATAAAAGTATAAAGATATTGATACGTAAACAATTTCCAACATTTTTCTCTGTTGTTACGATATCATAACAACAGAGAGAACAATATTAAACGTTTTTAATGCTATATCTAACACTGGATATTTTTTTATAAACTTGAAAATCGGTTTATTTACCACAAAATAAGAGGTCCAGTGGTATTTTCAATGTGGGCTTTCTTCTTCTTTTTTCCAAATTCTTTCACCCTTTGCAAAAGAAATACAGCCGTATTTGCTTTATAGCTTTATATTCGATAAAACACTGATTGAAATTGTTTTATTTAACAGAAAATATGATTTTCCTTTGGTATTTTCAACATTTTTTTTTGTCTTTTTTTCCAATTAATTTACCCTTCACAAAAGAATTACTGCCGCTTGTTCACGTCTTTGCTTTATTCTTTGAGTCTGGCCTTTGATGCTGTCAAAATGGTTGTTGAAACAGCTGTGTGCATGACTGTTATCGAGAACACAAACGATTACCTCACTCAATTGTAGTAATCGGTTGTCAAATGGGAAAAAACAAAGCAGCACACGAAACAAAACATGACAAGACAGCTCTTCATTTAAACACCACACATACTTGCGCACTCTAACGGTCAGTGGTATAACTAACAGTTTAGCAAATGCACACAACACGACACACTCTTCACTCACTCTCAACAGAGGGAGACATTTGGAGAGGCACAATACAGAGGGAGACATTTGGAGAGACACACACTACAGAGGAAGACATTTGGAGAGCGCGCTGTTACGCTGGTTGCTCTCTGACAATGTTAACAGCAAACTGCATGAATGAATAAACGGAGAATGGTGAATTTGTAAAGAAAAGCAACACCACCATGACCATTCATGACTCTTTTGCCATTGATGGTGAGTACGAACTTTGAAACAATACTCCGAAATGGTGGTGTGGTGGTTGTGGACGAGGAAAAGGAATAACGCCGTATAATAACAAAGCAAGCAGAGACAGAGGAGTAGCATACAACACCACAGAAAACTTCAGGGAACGACGTTTGTATGGTTGTTGTTCGTCGCCGTCGTCGTCATCATCATTTTCATCCACAATTTTTGTGTTGTAGTGGGTACAGTTGACGACAAAACACCAACTTTGGATTGTTGGTAGATTGTGTTGTTGTTGGTTGCCTTGCCTTGCCTGCACACGGCTGCTTGCCTTCCCAGCTTGCCTTTTGTACAGAATGGTTGTTGCTGGGTTTTATAGCAAAAAAAATAGTGTATATCTGTGTGAATGTGTGTTTTGTGAGAACTTTATGTGTTTGATGGTGTGTGTTGTTGAGTTAGCTGTATGTATGGTTGTGTGTTTGTTGGTTGGATGGATATTTTGCTGAAGTCTTTCTTTGTTGTTGATTGTTGGGATTTTTAATTCTTGTATTTCAGAGTGCCGGCATGAAAATGCAAAAAACAAAAAATAACGAAGTTTTTTTAAAACACCAAGAAGCAGACAGACATATTCAGCCATCCATATTACAAGCATATTTGTGAAGGGCAAACCAACAAGACACACACAACCACTAACTAAAACAGCATTAACGCCGTTCAATGCTGTGGATGGATTGCTCATCTGCTGCGGCGGCTGCTGTTTTTGACAACAATGGCAAGAAAAAAAAGGAAGGGGGAAATGATGATGATGGTGGTGGAATGGTTGTCGTTGTTGTTTGAGTAGTAGCAATATTTGTTGTTGGAGAAGGCACAGATGGGGTAATAGGTCGGTCGTAGTTGCTATCGTTCAGTTCAGTTATGCTTTTTAGCACGAAAATGTTTGATGTTGTAAATGCTGACAGACGATTGAGAACATGAAACCACCAAACAGCCAGCCAGCCAGTCAAGCCAACAAAGGCAAAAAGAGCTCAAACGAGACGATTTTATAATTTTTGCTATTTGTTATTTCTTTTTTTTGTGATTTTTTTTATTGCCGCCGACGACTTGGGTTGCAGCAGCAGCAAAAGGTTTGTATGAAGCAAATTAAATAATGTTCAATAAGTTTTTATTTTTCTATGGTAGGTAAAATAAGGGGTGTATGGGAGAGGGTTTTGGACTATGTAATGATTTATGGCAACAACAATAAGTTTAATGCTTCACAAGCCGCACTATTTTTAATGAAACTTTTTTTTGAACTTTTGAAATGGCGCCAAATGTTGGGCAAACGCAATTCTTAGGGGATTTGGTGATAGATCAAATGGCTATGTCAAAAACCAAAATCGATATACTACATAAAGTAGAGATAGAGAATTAAGGGTTGTATTTTTTTAAATGGAATTGATAAAATTTTGTATTAAAAAAATATCAATATTCATAATTGAAGGTTTGTGCGATATTTTTTTAATTTCCTACCAACTGTTATATTCTTTTTTCAAATTATTTGTATAAAATTATTATTTTCGTAATGGCGCCAAATATTTGTCAGACAATTCTCAGGGGGGTTTGGCGACACATCAAATGTGATTGTGTGAGACCCCACATGGCAATATATAATCGATATCAAAAAATTTATGCGATTGATTGCTCTTATCGATAATATTCCTATAAAGTTGCATTTTTATATTAATATGATATAAAAAAAATATTTTTATAGATGGAATAGTGTTTTTAAAATGGCAATTTTTTTTTTTTGCGAAACCTCCAATGTGATTGTGTGACACACATGCCAATAAATAATCGGTATCAAGTAATGTATGCGTTTAAATGCCCTCATCGATTATCTTCCCGTAGGGTTGCATTTTTATATCAAATTGACAAAATTTTTGATTTTGGCGCGAAATTTCTGTCTAGAAAAAATAACTAATATTTTTATATAATTTGTTCCATGTCAGGGTCAGGTATTTTCATAAAAATTCTTCTAGGTTCTATTACAAAACATGTGGGGTGGTCGTTATTTTAATTTCTTATAAACGGTAAAAAGGTGTGTTTAGTTTATGCCTTCCAAATTGACTTCATTGGAAATCGAGGTGCAAAATATTAGACGTATTCAAATTATATAATGCCCATTGCCCTTCATTAGGTCAATAATGCATAGAAATTTAATTGATTTAATGTTTAACTGATTTAATGTTTGTCCTGGTAAATCGAAGTAATTCTGTGCGAATTAAAAAATTCACCTTATTAAGGCACTGATTTTTTTAACTTTGACGTATTTTGATACATACTTTTAGGAGACTTTTTTTGTGCAAACCAGAGTTGTATTTGAAATTATATCGATTAAGCATAGGATTTTGAGCAAATCGAGATATTGAATGTATTTAATTGTTTATGGTAAATATAGAACAGCGCGATTTAAAAATTTAATCAAAATTAGTCACCAAAAAATATTATTTACAAACGTTCGCCAACAAATATTACTTGTAAGTCTTGACATTTTGAGTCTCCCAAAAACGTTTTCTAAAAAAATATTCAAAGAGAAAATCACGTCAATCTAAATAGTACTAGAAAAAAATATTCTTTCTTTCACAAAAAATACTTTGTAAACATGTTGGCATTGTAATGTTCTTTGAATAATCGTCTTATAATCGAAATATGAATTCTATAGAAAATATTATTTTCAAAAGGATTAAAAATGTTGACACATTGGACGATTTTATCTGCGTCTATATGGGATTTTACACTACTGGCCATGAGTATTCGTCATGAGTTTTTTTCTCCCTCTTGAGAGTAATTACTTTTTGTTCACAAAAGGTACGAATTTACATAAACGTACCAATTGTGATTTAATTAATATTTAAAGTAAAATTTTAGGTACCTTTTCGTACTTTTTTGTTCCTACCTGTGGCAATGTTTTCCAACTCTATTCCTAGTTTAACAATGAGAGAGAGAGAAAAAACTCTCATGACGAACAGTGTAAAACACCGCTATTTTATTCACTGTGTAAATAAAATCATTGACATTTAATGTTATCGGTATTTTTGACAACAGGGTTGCATTTTTCAATGACATTGCAGTAATGTCCATTGTATGGAATTGGTGCGAAACAAAAATAAAACGGTAAATTAATGAATTAAGCGAACAAATAATTATAAAGGTGGGTACATACTATCATAACATACTATGAAACATAGTTCTGCTAAACGTTAAAAAAATTTACTCTTTTTTTCTTAGCTAATAAAAAATAATAAAATTAGAAAATAATAATTTTAAATATGAACCCATATCGCTGACTTCACATGTCAAAACGATAAGTTCATATTTTACAATTTTACAGGAGAGACAGACATGTGGAAAAGTCGATTAGCGTCTTTACCCATCACCACAAAACAACAGCAACAAATGAGAAAATTGTACATTTTGAATTAAATCGATGTATTTTTACTTATTGAGAATGTCTGTATCAAAATCTCAATGATGAGAAAAATTGACTTATTGCCTTTTCACGTTATGCCAGCGATTGAAGGTTCTGAATATGTAAATCGTGTTATTCCGCTTTGATGTTCATACCATTTATTTAATATTAGCATAATCCACAACTACGATTTAGTCATGATCGGTTGTCCCTCCTGGGTATATTTTTGCTGT